TCACACTTGCATATTTTGGGATGCATTAGGCACAACTAGCTGTGCATGTAGGTGGCTCAGACATGACACCAATCCTGTCTGGGGAAACTGCACACATTTTGTAGTTAGCCCAGACCTAAGACATTGAGCATCTTCAGTCCCCCTTTCCACAGTCCAGTGACACAGCCTGTCTGCAGGCCACACACAGCCAAGAGGCTCCAGCCCAGGATGGTAGCCCTGAGCTAACCCAGCATTCAGCCACTGTGGTGCCTCTGAACTGACAGGGCATAGAACCTGGGGGTCAGGAGGGCTTTTCAGTCTGGCTCCAAACACAGCAACATCACCAGAGGGGACTTTCAGACCCATGCTGGCTCTGACAGCAGGGAACAGCTCTGCTGAGCTACACACAGCTTGGACCTTCCCATCCACACACACAGTACACTTACCTGCAAACTAGATAAGCCCCCATCCACAGAGGATTTGCTGTGCATCAATGATGCTTATTTATGGCTTATTTCAGGAAGAAAGGAAAACAGCCACAGCAAATCAAAACAGCATTCAGCAGTTATGACCATGCTACAGAAAGTTGCATTTTACCACAGAACAAAGATGTGCTTCTTAATAAAACGTTAAACAATCGTATGAATTACAATAGAGTATATTCCATGTAGCAGTCTCTTCTCACAGCAATTATCTATGAAGTATCCTTTAATCACTCATTTTGAAATGTGGTTTCCCCTGTTTTTTTCTAAAGAAGAAAAGGAAAGCAATTAAAATCTTTAATTAGTGCCTGCTGCCTGCCCCCTAATTCATGGGCATTTGAAAGTTCAACTTGTGTCTTTTCATAACATAATTGCCAGATCCATTGCAACCCATCTATACAGAACAGCAGCATGTTTTACACAGTGTACTGTAATAATGTAATTGGTGTGACTGAATACTACCATTAAGAGAAAAACAAATTCTGTGTCTGTAAGATTGACAACAGGCCTTTGAAATCATGCAATTGATGCCTCTTCTGTTAAGAGCTGGGAAACATTTAGCCCATATCCTTTGGGTCTCCCTTCAGGCTGTTTTGCCTGTACTGCCAACAAAATAAGTTAATTCTTCACAACAGCAAGAACTTATTCAATGCAGAAGCTACAGACTTTTTGCCTAAATTACTGATCATCTCTACACAGCACCTGAAGGTTTCCCTCACTAACATATGCAAAGAAAATATTCAGGGTTGACTGCACAGCTGCTATGAAAACGGCACGTGGGTAGAACAAGGAGGACAAACCATGCCCCAGAAACTCACGAGACTCCTCTCAGAGAGATACTACAACTCATTCCACTTCAGACCAGAAGCACAGCAAATGAAAACTTATCCCCTTGTGAACCACATGGCATCTGTCTCATTTCTGGTTACTGGTGCCCAATTCAGATGTCAATTCATCAAAACAGCCCATTATAATTGCTTATTAAATATTGTCACCCTGAAAACTCAGCTTCTGAGTCTTGCTAACATAGTTTTCTAAAGACTTTCCCAGGACAGTAACTGTAAACATAGATATGCGTACATTCTTTTTGTTACGCATCTTGTGATGGACATCCCTCATGGCCAGTGCAGTGAGAAAGTGTTATCCTGACTATCCAATCCCTGGTTGTGGTCAGAAACCTATAAATCCTGGGAGGAAAAATAAACTCTCTCTTCTTTTCACCACACCTTGAGCTGTGTCCGTGTGATCTATTTGTATCCAGCAGCAACAAAATAGGACCACATAGATACATCTTACATGTTTCAGGTGCATTCTAACACCTTGTACTGAAGCAGAACTAATTCTGGAAACACCACTGAAAGCAAGACCAACATACGCACCCATCCAAAACAGCCAAAAAACCCCACACAAAAGGAAGACAGAGAACCAGAAAGTAATCAAGTCTGTTTATGGATATTATCTTGGGTAACAAAGTCATCCATTTGCTAACAGTTATGTGGATTAAGAAAGCTATCTTCCAAGAATTTCTATCTTCCTTGCAAGTTTGGAAACAAGACTTATTACTGCAAAGCAGAGGAAAAAAAATCTCTCATACTCTGTTCTCCAGAAACTCACATTAGAACCATTTACTCAAGACGTAATAAGTAGAGGTAGTGTACTTCCCACTAGAAGCATCCTGCAGACCATCTTTGCAGGTCCCAAACACACAGCAGTGTCTTGCAAACCAGTAAGAGACAGCCATATTTGCTACTGTAAGTGCACAACTGTGATTTGTCAGGAACCAGCAGAGCAAGCAACCCTGTCCTCAGTTGTCTCTTTCAGCTGCCATAGTCCAATGGCCCTCAGTAAACAGTCATGATGGTCATCCAGCTGTTGGATTATCATGGGCTTGGTGCCATTTAAAAAAAAAAAAAAAAAAAAAAGGGAAAAAAGGAGAAACCGACCTATAAAAGCAACAAGAGATTCCTCTTCACCAACCCATTTGTTGGACAGAATTTTACAAAACTAGGAACTGAAGGGCTAACAAGTTTTTTTATTTCTGAGTTTAAAAATATATGGATTTAACGTTATTCTGGCATGCTCACAGCCATGAGTTTGTTCTCACCAGTAAGAAGAACAGGACAAGTCCCAGTATCCTCCTTCCCCTTCACCATCTGTTCCATGCTCTCAGGCCCTCCAAGGTCAAACTGCCTTTAGGGATTCAAATCAGAGATAAGATGGGGATGACATTTCTAATCTTTGTTACACAGGCACAGAATTTTTTAGTTTTGCATACAAGGAGCTTCATTTCCAGTATGAGTGAATACAGAGCCTAAAAAAATAAACCATGTTACTTGGCATGTTTAGTGAACCACATCAGCCAAAATCCCCAATTGTAAAGAGCCAGCATTGCCAGCACAGAATAAAGGCATTTCAGACTGTATGTCGGACCTCAGATTCAAGAAGGGAAGGTTTCTAAATGCAAGCAAATAACTTTGTCTTTTTTTTTTTTTTTAACCTCAAAAGTAAGCACAAAAAATAGTACTAAATGTTCCATTCCTGGCTTTGAGAAGCTAACTTTAAGGGCAGTGCAGTCAACTCTGAATACTCTTAAGAATAGCTATTAAAGTAAACAAAACTGCAGCCAAGGGTTAGTCATGCCACACCTCCTCTGCCTATACCCTACAGGTCAAAGCACCAAAGTCCCTGATGGCAGAACCAGTCCTGTTCCCATTGGTAGGTGAAGCAGAAAAATCACACTGCAACAAATCACAATATGTCCTCAGTTCTCCTCACAGTGTCACTGGTTTAGATGGGTTAAATGCAGTAAGAGGGAGGACTAGTGGCTTAAAAACAGGCAAGACCATGTTTCTCCAACATGTGATAGGAACATATTATTCTGCCACAGCCTGAGCTTGTGCAGGCTGTCACCAGCTGGCCTTCTTGGTCTGAAGGAGAGCATTTTTGTCCTCCCAGAAACACAGCCCATCCACACCATAACTTAGGCTACACAGAAGGAATGATAGAGTAGCCAGGAGGCCACAAAGGCTCATAAAGACAGGCTTGACTGTGGCAATCTTCAGGCTGCCTGATTTGTTTCACTAGATTCCTTCATGAAAACAAAGGCTGTGACTAAACACACCTGGGACAGAGAAGGAACATTTGCCAAGCTCATCAATGAGGATTCTTTTCATTGTTTACTGAGATACCTCAGCTTATGAAAATAGCTTTCCCTTTTTAACCAGACAGAGAACACAGGAGGCAATTAGTGAGAATGCCAGAGCAAAGCAGGCTACAAGCTTTCACTGTAAGTGTTAAGACATCCACAGAAGCATCTTCAGAGCCATGAAAGAGAGTACCATGTTATTTGGCCATTTGAAAACCTTTTACATACTTAGGCTCAAAGGGAGAGTGAAATACTGAATGAACCACAAACTTCCCCTTTTGAATATATTCTTATTTCATCCCACCAGAATATGCAAACTAGCTCCCTTTTAATGCAAGGGAAAGGGATAAGTAATCACAAGACAGAACCCTCCACCATTAAGAGATAGAGAAGGTTTCGCGAGAAATAGGCTCTGTCTCTCAAGAACCTCAAGGTAATTTCGTGCTTTCCCCTTTACAGGAACACTTCTCCCCCATAACATCTTCAGATCACACAGATCCTGGAAAAATAGATGTCAGCTTCACCTTAGGAAGGCAAGTCAAACATAAAAACAGAGTGAATTTCAGCAGCAAAGGTGTTCCAGGTGTATACTTCTTGAAAAAGTACCATGTCTCCTTTTCAGCACATATTTACTTTGAGGTTTTCTGATGATTTATGCTCCTCCCCAATACATCTTTGCTCTGTGTCCCCTCCACAGGCTGAAAATTTTTTTTGTTCCTCCTTCACCTAATTCTGTCCCCCTTCAAGGTCATTTTGGAGTGGTAGGAATCAGGAACAGGTATGTGAAGAAGCTGTTTGGCTTTACAGTCCTACAAGAGAATTACAATGCCGTGACTGCTCTTTGTCTCTAAAAATCAGAGAGAAGTACCCTTCTGGTCAGCTTTGCTCTGACAGACTGAAGTGTCAGAGAAGCCAATGTAATTGCATACTTCTGTTTCATTTTAAGGGTTCACAATTGTAAATACTGGAAGAACAGCTCATCCAGTCAAAATCCAGGAACACCAATTATGTTGCTTACTGGCCTCCAGAAACATATCATTATTACTTGCCATTGACATTCTCTCCAGGAAGGAAAGTATGTTTTATTCAGTTGTTAACATTGTATCATTAGGGAGAGACCTCAATTGGAAATCTGCTTCCTGTTAACTCATTCCATGAGCTTTCACAATTTTTTTTTATAGGAAAAAAAAATTACACAAAGCCAAAAAACAAAACTTCAAACAAACAACAAACCTGTACATGAGAAAACTCATTAGCCTACAGCAATACTGTTATGGAAAACATATCATAAGTTAAACAAAATTTCCCCTTTTATTAAAATTAAATAAATTTTAATTTTATTAAATTATAAAAATAATAAAAATGCACAGGAAAGTACTTATGGATAACCAACATATGTAAGAGTTAGACTACTCCCTCTGTTCCTTCACTTAGGAAGAACATTCATGTGGTTCCTAGGTGTATTTCTGTACATTTGTCCTGAATTTTAGTTAGAAAAAACTCGTGACAAGGCTGATGCAAGATGAAGGCTCAGATGTTCCATTTCCCCAAAATCAGAAATACAGTTACATGGCTCCTACAGTACTCTGCTACAGGATCTTCTTTTGTTTGTTTTATATGTAGCAGATGAAAGTGCCTTGCATCTTCCTTCAGGAAATTCCTATATATCAGAAGCAGCATTTAAACACATTTAATCTGGAACCCAGCACAGCAGTCCCATTTCTATCAATAGCATTTTCACACTACTTCATCCATAACTTAGCTACAGGACCAGTTAGTTCACATTTTACATGCTGTTAGATAGTGATAACTTTCACCTCCTCAGCAGAACAAGACTGTGGAGTTTGAGGTCCCACATGGCCTCTCTAACTGCAAGTCCAGAAAGACTGGAGAAGCCAGTTCGGTCACTGCTGCAGACCCTGATCCTCCTCCTGCTTGGATCAGCCCCGACAAGTCCCACTGACACGAGTACTTTTAATACAAGTGCACATGATATCCTACAAGCCCTCACTCCTGCAGACTCCACTTCTAATTATGAAAGGCCCTTCTGACTCAAGAACAGCCCTTGAAAACACAAAGTAGGTGTGCTGCAGAGGTTTAATCTAGATAGCACTGAAAAACACATAGCAATACTCAGATGTACATGATTTTGAAGCCAATTTAATATTTTGGGGTGGTTCCACCTCTTCAATTTTTCCCTGAATTTTAAAAGGAGACAGTATTAAATTGCCCTGTTCTGAAGAAGTTTGTGGGAAAGAACTTGAAGCAGAAGAACCAGACAGGAAAATGTTAAGGAACCAAAACCCAAGTTTTCTAGAGTATCTCTTTCCACTTTGTCTGAAAGTTATTAAAAAGTTTCTAAGAAGTTTGTTGATGTTCCAAGGTTTTGAATCTCACTTTGAGGTACAAGTGACCACCCTGTATTTAAAGCAAAATACACATAACTTACACATTTTCAGAAAACATTTCTTACACATTTTCTGTACACTTGCATCTTCTCAGAACATGAAAATTACCAAAAGTTACCATGCAGTTATTTTTTACTCCCATTTTCTGCCCGCCTCTTAAATGGATTTTTTAAAGCCATCATTGTTACAATAGAAGAAATCTAATTATTTCACTGTAGCTTATAATGAATGTATCTGCATGTCACAAGATTCCCTCTATCACTGCACCAGAAACTGTCCAAGATCCCTCCAGACTGCAAACTAAGGCATGAAAGCAGAGTACTGCATCCTGCAATTCCAAACAGCAGGTACCACCATCATGCCTGGTTTTAGGCAAGGCTCTCTTCCTCTCATTCTTGATCCATAAATCAACACAAATGTTTTGAATGGAAACATCTGTCTACGGGAAATGTATCTGGACATCAGAACCTGCATACAGTTATGGTGAATGCAGCCAATTTCTCTCTTGACAATTCCCAAAACTCTTCACTGACATTCCACTTCATAAAAGCAGTGTCACTAATAAAACAATAGAGAGCATTTTCCACCCAGCATCTGAAATCTTGTTTCTGCTTATCTAGGGAAGTTTTTGTAAACAAAACCCACCAGGAGACATGGAAATGCTATACATCCCTTTGCACTATTAATACTACAAACTCATTTTTGGCTTACCATGGATTCACTGATTAAGAGGAGGAGAAGAGCCTCTTCTACGTTGTCTTGAGGGCAGTACACACTGAAAGACAGAATACATGTTTCTGAGGAAGGTCAAGAGTTATCCTGTCAGCCTCTTTCTCATTTCACAAGAGATGCAGTAACTTGAAACATTTCATGCATGATTCATTTGTTAGGCAATACTTTCTTTGCAGATCCACACAATTAAAAGCTCTGCAATATACCTTAGATGAGATATACTGAACCCTGAATAGATTATTTCAGTTTCATAGCAAAGACAGCCCTTTGGTTGGACTTTCTTCTTCCTGGGGGGGGCGGGGGGAGAAAAGTCACTCAAAGTTTAATATTTTATTTTTCCAGCAGACTTTTTTGTTGAAAAACAAGGCACAAAACTATTACATGAATCAGTGACATAATCAGCAGTACCAAAGAGTGTTTAAATACATTCCTTCCTCATTCCAATAAACTGAAATAAATATGAACACTTACTTCTCTTCTGAGTACACCTCAGGTCTCCGACAAAGAAGATTGCTAACATAAGACTGATACTCCTTGTTCATGAACTCAGGAAGTGGATCAGATAAAGGGCTCCAGTAACAGTCTTCACTGAGGGAATGGAGAAGTACCTGGGCTAACTGTTTGGCTGCAGTCTAGAGATCAGTACAGAAAAAGACATGTATCAGTGAAGTCTTCTCCAACACAAAAGATTCACCATGTTCCACCTCAGGAAGGAGATGTATGACAGTACCACTTTTCAGAATGACAGACTAGCAAAATCAGTTCCTAAGGTCTACAAAAGTGTGAGTTTCTTCCCTCCTGAGAAAAGACTAAACTTCTGCATTTACATGGCCTTGTTGCAATGCTCTAGGAAAAAATTATCAAAAAGGCCTGACAGCAAGGGATGCTTTGGTGAACAAGAACAACCACATGGGCTGCTGAGACAATCTCACAATAGTTACTATATAGGAGTATGATGACACTACATTGTGTTCTCAGCCTCAGAATTTTGTATGCAAGTCTCAGGACCAGAGGCGGCTTTTGTGTTAGGTTTAAAAGATCAACCTTTTATCTGCTCGTATCACCCTCTCTTTTAGACTCTTATAGTTTCATCTTAGTACTGCTTCTCTCTTCCTGTTGCAGTAAAGGAGGCAGGAGAGGAGATGCTTAGGAACTTTATAGTGAGACAGCAACATCACATGTACTTTTTTTACCATCAAGCAGCCGAAGATCCCTAAATAGTTGCTTTCTACTTCATATGCACAGCTGGCAAGCTGGGCCCAAAAGGAGGCAAGTTAATTTCACTTAGCAAAACTATCTTTGGCATTTACCCTTGTCTGATACCCATCAAATATCTAATTTCTTGAACTGTAAATAGATGAGCCTGCGAACAAGCTCAGAGACGACAAAATTGGTGATGTCTTCTGTGAATTCTAAGCAGCACACCACTCTATGATATAAAGTAAATACTGCACAAAACAGAGGGCAGGCTGAAACTTCAGCCCTTCTGTCCTAATATTTGCAAATAGTATTTTGCAACTTCTCTGACTACTGGATATGTATTTTATATGAGAATTACACTTTGAGATGTGCTATGAGCATACCAAGAGTAATTTTCTTTTAAATACCAGGAGGTATGTTATAGATGTCATACCTCAACATCTATGGGATCAAATAACACACACTGAAGTCGAAGTTCCTATTATCAGTTTCAGAAAAATAACTTGTTTTGATGCAAGGCTCTTGATTTTCATCCACCTCACCACACATTAATACACTAAATTAGTTTAAAATGCAACCACAGTAGCATGCACCACCTCTTAAACATTATAAAGGGAGGCTTCATAGATGGCAGTGATCTGGACCCCAAGACCTTCCATGCCCTGCTACTGACAAGTTACAGAAAGCCATCTGTTTCTAACTAAGCTTTTCTATGCTTTTTATAGCAAGTAACTATGAGCAAAATGGCCTAAGGCCCTGCAACATTAGCCAGTATCATTTTATCATCTCAATGTGTAATTATTTAGTCAGTTTTACACTGAGGAGTCAACTCTCCTATATTTTTTTCCTACAGTCTTAGAGGGGAGGGAAAATAATTTGCCAGCAACACAAAGATCTTTACTGGTTCACACAGAAGTAGGAGTACAGTTTGTAGTAAGCTATTCAGAAGGCAAGCAACAAATACTTTTAGTGTTTTTAATTTTAACACACAGTACAGTAGCTGTGTAAACTAGCTTCAGTCTTGTTTTGAATAAGACCAAACAAACCAGAACAGGCCAAGACTCTGATTTATGTTATTACTGCCTTTGGCTAAAAAAAGGATCATTATGCTTGAAGAACACTGTGATCCCACAAATCAGGGAGGAAAAAAAATCATGTGTTTTACTTTCATGCTTGAAAAGCTTGTTTAATTATGCACATTCCTCCCGTTGCCTTCTTGACAGCTCTTTAAAAATAAGTAATAAAATGAAAATGCAACTTCTAAATCCCAGGAAAAGCTATTGAGTGAACATCTTGAGAGTTCCCCTAAGGGATAAATCCCCCAGGGGTTATGTACAGCTGCCCCCAGTTGCACAGGGACAGGAGAAATTGAGCCACATTCTGTCACAGTCTAGGAGCAGCAGATGGTTAGACTCATTTCAGCAAAATGATAAAACAGGTGAGTACAAAAATACTGCTGAACCCTGATCTCAGCTTGGAAAAGGATGCAGACATTTGAGCAGACAATTATTTAAGTCACCTCTTCTAACCTGCTGCACAAGCATCCACATGCATCCGTATCATCAAAAACACTACGCAAGCCCATTCCCACCTCTCCTGTCCAACTTCAGTGGAATGACACAAAAGACAAAGTAGAATCAAGTACAAGCTTAGCTGTAAGAGTATCAATGCTTTTAGGGATGGCTGCAAAGCCTTCATTCCCAAGACTGTTATTCTGCAAGCTGCTGACCTTGTCACCTCCTGAATAACTTCAGGACAAGATCTCTCCAAGGGGAGACAGGGAAGAACCAGTTAAAGGTCTGAGAAGTTAAACAGGCACATAAATATTTCTTTGCCTGAGACATTCAGGATAAAAAAATGCAAAGATGTAGAATGCCAACACCAAAAAAAAAAATTTAAAACAATTAAAATCACTCTGTACTGCATTGAAGAGGTTTTCACAGAAGGAACACTGAAAGATGTCAGTCTAAAAAAGCACTGCTTGTTGCAAGAGACAGAAGTACTTAATGCTTCTACATGCAAATGCAGAAAGGTGTGCATGCACAATGAAATTGAGAAAGAAAACAAGACAGCGTCACCTGAGGACAGCAATGTCAAACCAAAAACATCTCTGTTTCTACCAGGGCTAGACTATGCACTGCAATCAAGAAAACAAAACAATCAAACAAACAAAAAACAAAACACAAACCCAACAAAAGTAACCTACATGCCCAGGTCTGAAAGCTTGGAGGTTTCAGTTGGGCAGGTCTTTGAATTAAGGGGATCACTTCTAAAAGGAAAAAAAAAGGAAAGAAAGAAAAAGCCAGCAATCAACAATCGAGGACAAATACATTTGAGTGCTACAGCACTGGTCAATCAAGAGAATTCCTGCATACCAGACTGTCCCACCCTCCCATCTCCTATTCCCTTACCATTTTGAAGGTCTGAGTAGCTTTTGTTTCTACAGTCCGTAGTATTTCTCGCAGACGCCTCATTCCTTTCACAATATTTCTATGGGGAAAAATATTTAAAAAAGAAAGAAAAAAATAATAATTTAGAAATTTTTCTTTAAAAAGAAAAAAAGAAAAAAATAATAATTAACCCCCCCCAAATCAGCACAATGAAGACAGAATATTTTTATGATGTCCCAAAGCTCGGCAACACACCTAAAGTTCAAACAACCCATGAAAGAATCACTAACACTGAGTGTGCAGTAGCGAGACAAGTCACTCTGAGGCATAGACAGGACAACAGGCCAGAGAAAGTCAGCAACTATACCACTGCCTACTCCAGATGGCTTCCTAAGAGAAGATCACACTCCCATTTGATGAACATAGGGGACATTTGGAAGCCTTTCATTGCTCATATTAAGCAGATGCTGCTCCTTAAAAGCATCCACATCTCCTCTTCATACACACAGACTGTACTTGTTTGAATTATACTGAGCTTACATGATGCTTTTAAATGACAATTTCTTTTAGGTGATGCTTAAACGCTTGTGTCTGATGCTCCAGGCACATGACGAAATTACAGTGGTTTAAACAGTTTATTATCAGACAGCTAAGTTTAAGTAACTGTCTGCAAGCACAGCTTAACCTGCAATAAGAGGGTAAGACTAAAAAAAAAATAAATTAAAAAAAAATCACATTAGTCTGCATACACCATAAGCAATTACAGCAGACTAGTTGCCAAATGCTATCTTAGTTGTGCTGTGCCCTCAGAGAGATGCAAAGAGGAAAGATTAAACACTGGACATATCAGTTAACACACTGGCAGCCTATCAGCTGTTCAAAGCTGAGGACATGGCCCATCAGAACAGTAACTGCAAAATGATTCAATACACATTCATTGCAGGGTCAAAGACACCCAAAGAAATACAAGCTATCAGAAAAGTAATGTACAAGACAACAAAATAAGCAGCTGTACTGGTACATTAACTGTCACTTCAGCTTATCCAGGAAAATTTTCTGTGCAGATGAAAACAAAATTTCATTTAAAAAAAAAAAGCCATATAAACCTTTTCTGTCAAACTGATTAAATTTTGAAGGTAAGCAGTACAGACCACACCTGTACCTGCTTTCATGCACTGTAAAGCTTCTTGCACTCCAGAATCAGCGGCAAACATTTGATGACAATAAAAAAAAGGTGATTATTTTGGGGGTGCAGAGATAAAAATGTAATCATGTTTACCATGAATATTGGCTATATAAAATGCCACCCTAAAGCTTGTAGTCACCATGTCACAGAATGCAAATGCATATGGCCTTACTTACAAGCAATACCCATATCAGTTTCAAATTGTGAGGTAATCTGCAGACTGTTTAATCATAGGCAATGTACAGAAGAGCAAGAAAGTAAGGACAAGATCAATGAAACTGAAGACTTCTAGAGAAAAGTCAGATGTTATCTTTTTTCTTCCCACTTTCTCCCAGGTAAAAAATGTGCTTTGATTTTATCAAGAAAAAAGCTCAAATAAGTTCTTTTAGTTGGACTTAAATACTTCAGCAAACACTCCAATGACAGGACCAAGACACCAGGTACTTTTTAGTTGGTCTAGAATAGAATATACCCACAAAGATGCAGTTCTGGACCTTACACACAAGAAGTGACCAAATCCAACAGAACTGTTTACGTGGTATTTACTATCAGATAGAAAAAAAAAATTCCCCCATCAAAACAAAATTCAGCTGTCCAACTGCTCTTCTTGATTACTGAGAACTACCAGCATTTGCTGTTCTTCCATGGGCTCCTTTGGAGGCTCGACAAAACAGTTATGGAGTATAACAGTTCTACAGCATTTTCAAAAATGCATTTATTTAGGTTTCTTGTTAACATAATGATATTTGTCTTAATAAAGTGCCAATGAATTGCATTAACCAACATCAGAAAAAAGACTAACGATCACTTGCAACATTTGGCACTTACTTACAAGAAGAAAAACCTACAGCATGTGATAAAAGGAGACAGTTTTGTTCCTAGAAAACTAAAGCACCATTACAGTTCAACATTTTAGACAAGGCCATAAAAGAAGTTAAGCCTCCTGGCAGAAACAACTTGCTCTGGGGTGGGGGGAAGGGGAGAAGAAATACAAGGAACAGACACACCGAAGTGAATAAAAGAATAAATGGCAAATTGCTGCCCATCTGTCAGTAGTCAGGGCTGGAACCATGCAGCACATGACAAATACTTAGGAACACCTTTAACAGATGGTAGGAGTGCAAAATGGGCAGCACAGGAGGAGCACCCAGCACTCACTACCTCCCAGACAGGTGCTTGTGTGGTCAGGATCTATCAAAGAGCACCCACTTCATCTCCTGAGCTCTCAACAATACCAGTTTTACAAGCCTGAGGATGTGGTTTGGCAGGTTTTTTATTCTGAACTTTATCAAACATTACTGAGCCGTGACAGGAGACAGGGCACACCTGCCAGCATTCTGCAAACACAGAAATTTGTCTTTCCACTCTACTGTTCCAAGCCAGGAGACCATCCAAGCACATTTCATTTTGAGCATATGAACTGCTCTGCTCATAACAATAAGGAAATCACTGTTCCATTAATATATGCCCTTTATATACGAAATGTGCACTTGAAGGGATTTTATTTAATTAGGACGTTAAGAAGTTAACAAAAAGAGAAGTATGTATTTGGAACAGAAATATATGCTATGTAGGTGACTGGACAAGGACACAGACATAAAGCCTCTGGCATTCCATGGTGAAAACACTTGATCTTACTTAGATTAGAAACTGAACAATCCTGAACATCTGCTGGATTTGGATAGAGGACTACCTGGAAATCCCAGGTAATGCTGCCTTAACCCATGGCATCATAAGTGAACATTAGATCATTGAAATGAAATAAGTTGGAAGAGTCCATACGCCCCCTATTACTAAGAGGACAGAAAAAGAAATGTGGAAAAACAGGAAGGGAAAAGGACATGATCACTAAACTGCCTTGGTTTTAGTTTTAGGCACGGGAGTGGTCAGAGTACCATTGAAAAAAAAAAAAAAACATGATGAAGAGCAGTTTAGGGTTCAGTTACATCTAATCTAATAAAGATGAACCCTTTGATGACAATCATGGGCACAAACTGTGACAAAGAACAACTTTAGAGTCCAGTCAGTCCAGACTGGCATAAAAATATGTTTTGTGCATGTACCCTGTTAATATAGATTAATTACCAGTCCATAAATCAAAGCAGTCATATCAGAGTTATGTCATATAGTTTGGTTAACACTACATAAAATTTTAAGACACAAGAAAACAAAGAAGGACACTGTTCTCTATGCAAATTGTTGGGAAAAATATTGACAATAAAGGAGTAGACTGTGGACACAGAGGTCTGCAAAGACAGTTCCCCAACAACATGATCACCAGCAGATCATGTTTTTATCCCCACTCATTTACTGCTAAAACAAACAGTTGCTGACAGAAAGAACAGACCATCTTGAGATAATTGCATAGCTGTTTGCATCATTGCCTCTCCAGAGTAAAGCAGTACCCAAAACGTAGCAGCAGCACCACTGCATCTGCCCACCTCCTTCTGCATCTCTGCACCTCACCCAGGTTTTCAGCAAACCATACCCCTCCCCTTAAACATGTTCATGCAGACACAAGAAAAGGCAGTAAGAAATTAATCTAATATTCACACATCTGCATCAGAAAAAAAAACCAAAACAAACAAACCAATCAAAATCCAGTGCAGATGATAACATGAAGACAAATGGCTGCCTCCTAGAGGCATCATCTGCCTTCCTATCTTCTGTATCCACAGCATGAACATTTGTCACTGGAGGACCAAAATAAAGCTTTCTTGGGTTACAGCATGACAAACTGCAAGAAATGCATCTTCAGTGACACAATGTTTTTATGTGTCATCTCATTAAAAGCGTCTGTGACTTCTTTAGCTGCAAGACTTGCTGGTCCTTACAGCTGGCAGTTCAACACCTGAAGGGGAGACTGGACCTCTCTCTTATATTGGAGTCTTCTTTCCACTGCATGAGAAAATGGCATCCCTGACCACACTCCGAGAACAGCACATCTGATCCTACCACAAGGAACAAAATCACAACAACAGCATTCATATCTCTCAGCTCTTCTGCCTGCTGAGACAAGAATAAAGCACTCCCTATTCCTTTTGTACACATGTAGCACTGGGGAAGGACATCCCACCTGATAGAACCTACCCCTGTTATCTTGAGCAGTCATCATCCAAGGCTTATTTCCTACCTGAACATGCTGGAAGCAATAAGGGGAACAAAAGCATTTCTTTGAGCTGTTCAGTATCAGGTGGAGTAATCTATTATACTCATGAAGCATCCTAAAAAGCTTCTTCCCATATCCCTCCCTTTTACTTAATATATCCCAATGCTGCTTATGCCCTCTCGTGGCAGAAACTACACATTAGTATCAGCTGCAGACAAGTTGCCATGTCCCACCAGGCTCCTTTTATCCCAGCAGACCTTCCAACCCTGGTTGATGTTTCTCACTTGCACTGCAGAAGGTAAGGAGCCTGTGGGATTCCACTCCCATTCTGGCTGCAGGAGCTCCATTGCTCTTTCTTTCATCATGAGACAGCTACAGAGAACATTTTTGCTGCTATTGCAACAATTCAGTTTATAATCCAACCATGGCTTAATCCACACATGTATTTTTCTTCAGATTGTTTTACTGTAGAGTTTTTTGTGGTTTGTTTTTGTCTGGGATTTGTTTTTTGTTTTTAAGGCTATCATTAAAATAATATGGAAGGGAGCATGCAGGGCCCACAGTAATAGCCAAAGTATCCCACTAGATATAATGAACCCATTTGAATTGATGAAGACTGAATTTACAATGTTCTGAATAAAATGAACATGAGTTCGATATTCTAAAGGTGCCTGGAGGACATCAGTGTCCTATGTTCTAAATGGGATTTTATTATATTACATAGTTAATGAGCTTACTATCAAGACTTGAGCTTTTTTTTTGCCATGAGAAGAGCAGAAGGTTAGGAAAGCACACGCTGCCACAGCTGGCTAATCCCCAGCTCACCTGGGAAAAGTACATACCAAGCAGATACTGAGACTTTGCTTTACAAGATCATACTTTGCTTTATGCATAAACTTGTACTTGCCTGACTAAAGGGGACATTTTACAAGATCTGAGCTTTGTGGGTTAAAAAGGCTTCAGGTTAAAACAAGGCTTACCTGAAGGCACATCTCATGGATATGCTCACAGGTACAGCTTTGCTCTACATGCATGGAGAACAGTGGCTCTTCACAGTTGCATTTAAAGTCATCCTTGGGGGATAAAAAGATAGCGAAAAAGCCCTAAACAAGAAGCAACCCTCCTCCTCCACCAGAATCAAAAAATGCTATCATTTTTCTACAGAAGGATTTAAACTGATTTTTGCTGGCATTTTTTCCCCTACTTTTCTTCTTTTCAATCTTCTCTATTTTTTTTGCTTTTTTTTCCATTCTACTCAGCAGGAAAAGAAGTGAAGAAAATGAGAGAAAGTGTCTTTCACTGGGGGTGAAGGCAAAAAAAGCCAAAATTAAATATTTGTGAAGACAGTTTGTAGTGAGACACCCAGTATCTGATTCCTTGATAATAAATGAGATAATATGGTGCAAGAAGCAGATTAAGAAAGGACAGATTCTGACAAATACTGTTTACACATGCTGAAGAGACACTCTCCTACACAACAAAATCTCTCCATTGGATAACCAGAGTTAATTATGTTTTCAAGACACGGACTGGTTTAGGGAACAGCATGTCCTCATCAATGTCCTTTGCAAGTGGATATTCACAGTGTCTTTTCTGCTGATCTTGAGAAGGTTTTTCACTGTAAGCTCATGAAATTCACTGAGAGCTTATGGATATTAACTCCTCCTGCACTTCTGAAGTTCACTGGGAGCTGTATTTCAGAAGCATAATAAATACCCTGGAGCAGCACTGTTCCCGCATATATTCTCCATAGTAAAAACACACAGAGTTGGGGCACTGATTGCGATATTTAAGACCTTAGACAAACAAGTAAATAAATGAAAGAAACTACCTGTAAGACTTTATTGAACTCTAAACCAGGTGCTGTGGCTACAAATTTTAAGGGCACACAGCAGTGTAAATTCCACTCTCTTCATAGTCAAACTCCCCTTGTCTACATAGGGAGCAAAGCTGAGTCAAGACAAGAATATTGTTCTACCCCACCCTACTCATAGGTCTGGAAAAATTACGCTTAAGACTCTTCAGAAAGACAGAGAGATGCAAACAGGATAAAGGGAAGGACACTGAGGAGACTTGAGGTGAACCAGCAGCCAAAAGTCAGAACACAAGAAAAAAAATTAGTCTTCATCTGAGACAGAACGTGCAATATTATCTAATTTTATTAACATCTGTGTCCACCTACCCTTTCTTTAACTGAGTCACATAGGCACTCTGTAGAGCTGCTTCCAGAAAGTAGGAAAGTTCAAACTCAGAGTAAGTCACACTGCTACCCTTGATACTCCTTGAATGTGTGTTGTTTAAGGTCTGTGAGGGAAAAAAAGAAATATCTGGCAATATAGATAACTGTCAGAACTAGCCAAATCCTCATGAGCCAGTGACACCTTCAACAATAAAATGTTACATTTATTAGCTATTCAAAAATGTTGTAAAAATCAATTTTAAAATAAATTATACAATGACTTCCATGAGATATTCTGCATGCAATATGAGTTTTGAAACACCATCCATTACCTTCCAACCTTTAATAAAGTAAGTAGAAAACTACATACTAACAGCAACAGCTTGGGAAATACCACTCAAACTACAAAGATCCAGCATGATTCACAGAAATATCAATACAATGTTTGAGTAGGTTTATCTAGTTCAACAGAACATAAATATTTGTTAAGAGTTAGAAAGCCACCAGGCGTCCAGATGAAGAATCTTAATATTTCCGCTATTTGTCCTATCAGATCTTTCTTGGTTTTGTTTCCTTACTGGTAACAAGCCACTTTAACTGTTGCCTCTCCTAAGCAGGGTTTTTCATCCAGGACTGGAGAAGGACTATGAACTTCTACTATGTCTTTCATCAATCCTGCATTTGTCTCTGTGTCCACTGACAACTATGTGAAAGAAGGCTGTAGAGAGGTGGAGGTTGGTCTTCTCCCAAGTAACAAGTGACAGGACAAGAGGAAACGGCCTCAAATTGTGATATAAGAAAAAATTTCTTCACTGAGAGACTGGTCCAACAAGCTGTCCAGGAAAGTGGTGGAATCACCATCCCTGGGAGTGTTCAAAAAGCTTTTTGTAGTAGTTTAGATTCGCCAATTTTCGTTTCCCAGACAACGCACCAAATAATCTGGTGGTTTTAGCACTAGCTAAAAACCACCAGAGTACTTACTCTTGCTGTGAGATACGGATTAGGAGAAGGGCAAAACAGGCTTAGAACTTAAATGGAATAAAGAAAGTTTATTAACAGAACTTTAGGGTTATAATAACACCTCCAGAAACCTTTTCCTCCCCCCACCCAACTTTTTTCCTTTCCAAACTGACACTTTTTTCAGTAGAGACAAAATCTGGGATGTTAAAGCAGTATTAACTACATGATAGTCTTTTCAACAGTCTCTGTAGAGAGAGGAGTTTTCTCTTGCCATTCCATGTAGAGTTCTCCAAAAGGAAAACAGTTTTCTCGTGGCTTTTCATTTCCATGCCTGGCAGCTGCCAGGAAATAAACTCTGCCATCATGCTTTCCTCCCATTTTCACACCACTCAGAAGTGTGTTCATGGGCCATGAACTCAAGGGGTATTATTTTAAGGATGAGTTATTCAAAGGCAAAGGCAAAGGTTCTCTTCATCTGTCTCTGTGATCATCTCTGGGAACAGAGGTTTTCTTCTCTCCCTTGGGGCAAAAGGTCTTCATCAGCTTTCACTTCTCCCTCGATACTCCTTGTATGATGCTTGTGATATTCAAGCATCTCATGGGATCACAGCTACTGTGGCACATGGTTTAGTGACAAACATGGTAATGCTGAATTAATAGCTGGCCACAATATACTCAGAGGTCTTTTCCAACCTTACTGATTCTATGATTCTAAGCCAATGAATTACAGTTGGACCCTCTCCCTTCTTCGCAGGCCCAGGCTGACAGAAAAAAAAAATTGTAGTGTCCAGCATTGGCAGGAACTCATCCTTTTACAATTAAAGGACAGTAACTGTTATAATTTAAAGACTATTCCATTTTTTTCTACAGAGAAACAGAGCAGGTCACTCTCTATGAAACTATGAACTATTGTTAGTTGGCTTTCTTAATGAATTTTTATACATGCACTAAACTTATTTTTCCTTGTTTCAATACAATTAAAAACAAAACCTGAAACAGAAATGTAACTTTTCTCCTGAGAAGAGCAGAACTCTCTGGTCAGAAGGTCAAAGGCCTTTCAGTTACAGGACAGTTAACATTGCATTGCTATCAGTACTGCTGATGTCAAGCATAATGTGTGGGATAGGAAGGGCATGGAAGCATGTGGTATGTCCTGTAAACTCAGGCAAAGTTTGCATGTACCCACCAAATCAGTGGCATGTATTATCTGCATGGCTCAGTGGAGGGCTCCCAGTAATCATCATACCAACCACTGGCCAAGCAGCTACTTGCTACTAATCACAGAATTTGGTTTGGAAGGGACCTTAAAAGATCACCTAGCTTCAACCCCAACTACCGAGGGCACGGACACCTTCCACTACACCAGGCAGCCCCGAGTGCCACCCAGCCTAGCCTTGAACACTTTCAGGGATGGAGGATCTAAGTTCTAGTGATCTGGATTCCTCAAGGTTCACTTGGAAAAGGTCAAGCACTGTTAATTAAACTGCTATGGCTGACCCAAAAAGGTTTTTTCAGCTCATTAGGGATCTCAATAGCCACTGCTGTGTATCATTGACACAGCAGGTATGTAAAATGTCTTGAGTTCCTTCACACCAGCCCTTGCCATGCAAAGTTCATGGTTCTGCCTTAGTAAGGGCTGAACCTGAGATGCAGCTTGTGCATATCTGAAGTATTTGGTACTTTACCCCAGGCAAAATTTATTTTCAGGCTTCATTCTCAGAGGAAAAAGGTAGAGCCCAGCTAACCTGCTACTTTTGCTAATTATTTTACTGAGACACCTCACTCTTTCCAACTTGTTCTCATATTCCTTGCTACAATCACTTGACATTTCTCCATTTTTTTTATTTTTGCTGTCAAAACCCTGGAAATTCCACCCAGACCACCAGGAAATACCCTAAGCACATTTCTTCTTACCTTCTCAAGCTCCTGCAAGTACACTTGGGCAGTAACACACGCCCTCTCAAAACAAGCCACAACTTCCTCCTCCCTTTCACACAGTCGAGCATGTGAGGCAATTGAGTTCGTTGAGCGCTCCAATGACAAACCTGAAATATGACAATATCTTCATTAACTGAGGCCCACCAACAGCAGTATGGCCATATTATTCTTAATTTACCAGCTGACAGGAACGTTTTTCCACATGTGTTTTCCCTCTCGATTTGATGACTTTCAAGACACTACTCCCACGAAAATACAATTCCTATACATGCAAGGCATCTTTGTCATGGTGCTCTAACACACAGTGCCAGTGAACACTCCTACCGTGCTTTTCGAATACTTTATGAAGACAGGACACACAATCCCTCTGTTAGGAATCAGCAAACAGGGAAAATAAGGCCTGAATTTCCAACGACGGCTATAGATCTTGGGTGCTTCAATTCAGTGCCAGCCTGGCACTGAACTTGATCATTTCTAGGCATCTGCTACTTCAAGTGAAGTTTTCAATAAACAGCAGTGTTTAGGGGAGAAAACAAACAAACAAAATCCCTAACTGGAAAATGATACAGAAACAAAGTCAGAAAATCTGAGGCCATTCTTGGAAAATCTGAGCACACGCAGATTGTTCAAGGACACACAGCAAGCTCTTGGCAGGGCATAAGAGACTCTTAACCACAGGATCACTCCCTTTCCAGAGCAAGAAAAAAACCCTGGGTTTTGTACTAATGAACTTCATTCTTGTATCATTATCTAAACACAGAGTCTGTTAATTGAAGATGCACAGCTACTGGTGCCTACACTAAAAATTTCTACTATCAGACCCTTGTCTGGCATCACACTATGACATCCTTTATATCTTTAAATCTAATTGGATAGGCCACACATTCATATACCAGTTTTACCCTAATTGGTACAGGTTCTTATGCCACACTAGATCTCTGCAAGACACCACTGCTTGAAAACTTGGATCTTCACCAACCACAACTCCACCAACACTCAGTAACCCAACACAGGTTGCAAAAAGTTCAGCACATGCTTTCCAGTTAATTTTATCTGTAACAACATTCCCTAATAACAATGACAAATATGTAAGACGTAATAGAAAATTCTAGTGTTCCTGACACAGATCCACAGAGGTGACAAAAGAAGAAAATAATTCAGCTGTCCAGACAGCTCTTCAATAAAGTAATTTTAGCTGTTGCAGCATGTGGCAAGGGATTTGTGAGGACACACCACAGGCATCAGCCATGCTTTCCTGGACTTCTACAGTTCAAGGGCCACAGCACCTCAGCCTGCTCATTCCAGGAGTCTTGGCAACAAACTGCTGTGAGGCAGCGATGGGCAGCCAGGCTTCCCCATGATCTATAATGTCTGGGTGCTCGTGCTGGAGGAGCCTGAGGTTCCTAGGCAGTCTTAGCTTTGTTTACTTCTAATGTTCAACATTTGTTTTGTCCCCTTGGTTACTCTGTGAGGAGTTTCCCTATCTCATGTCTTACATTTGAGCCAGACATAAGCAGTTAGCTCAGTGGGTTGAAAAAAGGCCTCCCTGGTTCAAGCTCAAGGTGGTGCACACTCCTTCTGTCCTGTCCCAAGTCAGAAGTACAGTGTGTTCTCTCAAAGATCTGTATCTTGGAGGAACATACAATCATACCGTTCATCTCTGAAAATATAGACCAGAGTATAACAGAAGGACTGAATTTACTTCAAACTGACAGAGTGTGTGGGACAGGGATGAGAGTCATTTTGCTGCTTTTAACTAAAGCCCAGTCTGTGTCTTCTTCCTTCTGATGAACATCTTGTACAGCTATAACTGATTTTATCTGTAGCTCATCTATGAAGTCTCTGTCTATATCATGGGTTGTTTTCCTATTATTTCAATGCTCCCATTTTCCAACCCTATAACTGTGTAACAAGGGAAAGAAAAAAGTGCTCATTAACTCTCTCTACAGCAAAAGAATAAACCAAAAGTATCCAGTGCTACAATCAGAACAAATAACCTACAAACATTCTTCTTACATATGTCTCAGTTTTATCTACCTCTGAATTTCTAGTCATTCCCCTAAAGTGAAAATAAATTTTAAGAAGTCTAAATTTCATTCCCCTTAGAGCTGAGGGCCCTGCAAAAAAGCCCAGTACAATCCACTGACATTCATATACTAGGCACATTTAATCAAGCTGCGAGAGCCATCTTAACACAGTCTGTACAGGGGTGTTTACCATGGGAGATGTCACACAGATAGAACAGGCTGATAAAAAGCCATTTACATACATGCTACAGCCCACTGCAAGGAGTCACTATCTCTAAGCTCTGACACAGGGGAGGAAAGCAAGCAGCTTCTGCCAGCATCAGGTACTGACAACAAACATGCCCATCCATGGAAGTCAGAAAAACAGAGCTGGGGCTGATCAGAGACAGGGGAAGGAACATCTCCAAAAGGATTCTTGCCACAGTAAGTATCCAGCAATACACAGTTAAAACAGATACTGTGCTACACTGCATTACTTGTAAAGGGCTAGAAGGAAAAATGACTCACATGATGTGACTTTAGTCATGGTTTTCTAATACTGAATGCACTGACCTGATGTCATTCAAATACAAAATCTACAGAATCCAAACTGGGCTATTCTCCCCTACCACAGAAATGCAGTAACGAGAAAAATTAGAGCAAGCAGACTGTAAACCAAATATACAAGGGGAAGAATAGAAGAAAAACAATGTTCCCTACTCTTGCATACAGTTCTCACAGTACAAAGCCCCAACAGTAAGATTTGCTTAGGGTGCAGTTGGGTAAGACTTGACAAGCACAAAGAGCACAAATTCCACTAACTCTTGTCCATCCTCCAGTTACTGGCACAGAAAAAAACTTTGAAGCACAATACACAATTTAAATTCAACTCAGTTTCCACAATGTGTCAGAAAGCCACTAAAGTCCACTGGGCTTAGCAAGAAAAGTGGAGCTATTGCTAAGACAGAACTAGCTTCCAATTAAATCACAATGCTACATGCTTTCTTGTTAACTGGTTAAGTAAAGGGACTCAGGTATTTTTCACAATTAGCTGTGGTAAGAGAATACCAGCTTAAAGCTTACCTATACTAAGATTTTTCTCATATGAAACAGGTGCCCAAATTTAAATAGATACATACCTATACACTGCAGTAGTTTCTCATACAGTGCAGAGTTTCCTAATAGAGTATGGCCCAGGCTCAAGATTTTGAGACATGTTCCCAGATTATCCTTCTCTAAAAGAACAAATTCTACCCACTTCAGAGGAAGTAACTTTTTATATATAGAAATGCTGCTTTTCTCTCCTGCATAAAGGCAAGGCTTCAATTCACCTCCTCTAGTTTTCCCAATGATTCATCTCTGCCTCTTCACCTTTGTATCATCTTTTCCCCTTCTTCCCTGCCCTCAAATCTAAGCTGCATTTATGTAAGAAAAAACTCAAATCCATAAAGTTTGTAAGACGTACCACTGAACTAATGTCCTCTTTGAGTTGAAATGCATTGCTCTCATATATGGAAATCTGAAGGGGGAAATTTTAGGAAGGTTTATTTCCATTTTCATCTCAGTCATCCCTTGCCAAGGAAGGGCATTGATATCATATAGCTCCAGTGCTCTGAGGTGATATTATTACCAGAACTGGAACATTCATGTGCACGTGGACATGTGGTATCAGATTCTCAGCAACACAAATGGGATGAAAATTCATGCTGGAAGGAATCTTTGACAGTCCATGGTCTGACCTTCTACACAGAGAAGGGCCAGCTCAGGGTGTTACCCAGCCTGGTATTGAAAGCCTCGGTGCACAGATGGAGATTGCACGGGAGGAAATTAAGGTGGCTTTATTTTCCTATGGTTCATAAACTAGCTCACCAAATCGCAGCTCTCCTCCTTCCCAAGTAGATATAATGCATCAGTCCTCTCACAGGTTCTTTTAACATTGCTTTTTACATGGACTTCAAGCTTCCTATACTTGGATGAATTTAGACAACCAGGGAGTGGTGGGCTTGTTTATAGGTGCAAGAATTCAAGGTCATCACTTTCACCAACAGTGCTAGCCTACAGCTGCTAAAACCCCATGGCCCAGGAGCATCAGAGCTACCTGGCAAGCTGAAGAAGAGATCAAAGAAAAACAACAGCATGAAAAGCATGAACCCAAACTCATGTGTTGCATCCCAATGCTATGTGTTGAACATACCTATGACAATATGAAGCAAAAGACATCTTAGTGTGGAACTTACAGCCCGGCCAACAGCACCAACCCCAGTCTGCAAGATTCCACTGTCTGTGCTCCTGCGCCACACAGACAGGCCAACCTGGCCAGAAGACAGTGTGATGCTAAGATAACTACTTCTACTCTATGTACAGGAAAGTAAGTCATTTGTCTTGAGGTAAGCCATGCACAAAGATTCTGCATGGCAGCAGCTGCTGCAATGAAACTGGTTGTGTGCACATTCTCATCCTGGAGAATGGCAGGACATTCTAGGTCACTGTTCCCTAGCACAGGATGCACTTTGCTTCTAACATGTGGCCTTCAGTCTTGTTCAGAAATTAATTAGCATTGAAACAAGATTAATTTTAAGACTTTAAACATATACATGTGCATGCTGACTAATCAACATCCATCAGAATACTGAACACTTTTCAGAGACAAAATTCAAAAGCATAACTAAACCACTCTAGAGATGGTATTACAACCAGTCTGCCCTGCCAGCTAAGGTTTGAACTTAAGAGCACAGTCTTCAACTAGCCTATTCCATCACAGTGTCCTGGAAAGCAAAATAACCCAAACCTCAACAAGCAGCAGCTGGGTTTAGTTAGACATAGGCAAGACCCAGCACCATGCATTATTTCTGCCACAATTCACAGCAGTTTAAGTAACTCACAACTTGGTCTTGACATTTATCTCCCCAGCAACTAAGCTATGATTTTATTTGCAATGCAAATAGAGGAGGGGAAGAAAGGCCTAGGAGCCCTTGATTTTGAACACATTGATTCATACTGCAGCCTGTGAAAGGTGGGGACGAAGAGACAAGTTTTGCTGTTCAAGAAACCTGCATGTACTACTTTCACTGCTGCTTCCTATTACACGGGATTATTGTACA